CTTCTAAATTCGGCTCTAGAGGAAACACCTGCAGCTGAGATGGAACTGTGGCGGGGGCGGGAGGCATCCGATGTGTTCGCAGACAGCTGGGCACTGCCCTCTGACGCATCTCAAGAGCTCTTCACGCAGGGTCCCTCGGCCACTCTGCCTGTGCCCTTTTCCCCCTTGTCCTGACCCTGCCACTCCAGTCTATCACACCCCCCGTTCCTAGCTAGCCAGTTGCTGATTGGCGAAGTTTCGAAGTCTTCATACCAATCTGAGTAGCTTAGAGCGCTGCCCCTGCTCGGCCGATGCGTCAGTTCCTACTCGCTAGGAAGCAGTCTCAGTAAATAGCTGAGCTCAATACTTTTAAGCAGATTGTTGTTTTATTTTTCACTGTAATAGCCACAAACTTAAAAAAATAGTTCATAAGTACATGTTGCATTCTTCATTCAGCAGACACACGTCCACACATACTGGAATCACAGAACTTCTGAGAGCACTTCTGGGGCCCCGGCATTCTGGGTAATAATTAACGGTTTCCTTAGTTCACTCGTGATAACATTATACTGCTTTCCCTCGAGACTCAACATACAATATAGGCAAAGCTTGACAGTCTAACCCTGGACTTCCGCACACTCGGCACTCAGCACCCAAGAGGCCCACAATCTGCCTGTCCTGTGAGAAACCATTGGCACTTGATTTTACTTCCCCAGAGACCTGAAGTAGAGCTAAGGTGTAGCTATTTGTAAACAGTAATATATGCCAGATATGGCAGAGTAGGAAGTACAATTTTTGGACTTTCAATCCATTGGTTTCCACTAACATACTGTTCAGGAAGACAAGATGTCTTTTAAAATCCTGAAATGGTAGCCATTTTCCGTTACAAAAGTTACCCACCTCGGATGGGTGCAGAGAGACAAAAGCCACGTCAATCATTGCTGAGGGGTGAGCTTGGGAAACACGCAATGGGCAAGTCGTTGTTATTAGAAGGCTCTTGAGGAATCGAGGAAAGAAAACAGTAGCTGGGTGGTGGTCTTCAAACCCAGCACTCGGGAGGCGGGGCAGGTGGATCTCTGTGAGTTCAAGGCCAACCTGGTCTACAGAGTGAGTTCCAGAATTCCAGGATGGCCAGGGCTGATACACAGACAAATCCTGTCTCAAAACACCAAAAAAGAAAGAAAGAAAGAAAGAAAGAAAGAAAGAAAGAAAGAAAGAAA